CTTTCTTCTGGATCTTCTTTTTCTTTTTGCTGGGAGACTTCTCCTCCCCATCCTCTTCCATGGGGCGTTTCATGGGTGTGATGGCGTAGGTGGTGCTGGGGGGAATTTGAACTGAAAGGAGACCAGGTAGAAGCAGCTGAGACATGCAAACAGCACTCTGGAGAGAACCCAGACATGAGTGCCCATGTGTCCTTACCAGTGTAGTCCACTGGGTTCTCGTTCTTTGGTTTCTTGGGCATTTTGGAAGGCAGGGGGTCCATTCCTAGGACTTTATGGAGTTGACCAAAAGCAGCGAGCCGCAGAGCATGCTAGAGAAGGGGAAGAGGAGTCTGACTCGGCTGCCTCATGCCACAGTGACCACATGTGCGCTCACTAATGCCTTCTGAGATGGGGTGGAAGCTGGTGGGACTGGGGGGCTGCTAATAGTCTCCCTTAGGTCAGCAAGGGGGTCCCCTGACAGCCAGGGCAGGGCCTGACAGCTCTGGCCCAGCCTTGCTGTGGGGGAGTGCCAGCCTGTGACCACCCCCCTCAAGAAGAGTACAGGAGACCCCAACCTGGGGGCTGGTTGCCACATGGAGCCAAGGGGTAGAGCTGCAGGGGAAGAGCCTCGAGCAGTTCTCACAGCAAAGCTGCGGCCCACTGACCTCGCCGCGCCAACATGGCAGTCGAGCAGGTAAAGAGGCAGACAGTCACATGTGGCACCAGAACAAAGCAGCAGCCCAGATTGGGGCTCCCTGTATCAGACACCATGCCTTTGCCTTGGTCCCCAACCTGAGCCTATGATCCAGGGGCTGCCCTTCAAATGCCCAGTAATGGAACTGGAGCCAGTGAGTGCAGACTGGGTAAGGGCTCACGTTGGCAATGGCGACGACTATACCTGCGCACTCTGTGTGATATCTTCCCGTTGCTGTCTGTCTAGATGCCCAATAGCATCAGTGGCTTCTTTTTCACAAGGGTCATAAATGCCAGAACCATCTGAAGGCAGGAAACAAGGAAGATATGCAGAGGATTATCCCTTGTCGTCTCATAAGAGTTGCTGGCTGAGGGAACCAGGTGTGTTACCCCCCCGCACCCCATCCACACCCAGCTCTGGAAAACACACCGAGCTCGGTGACCCACTCGGCATCCAGCCTTAGACAGAAATAAATTATATGTGTCTCAGAGCAAGAAAGTCACGTGGGAGTGGGTCACCACTGGCCCTGGGTCCGCCCCATTCATGGTTGCGGCCCCGGCACAGGGCTGGATATGATGGTGCAAGAGGGTAGTCACGTGCTTTGGCCCTAGCAGGGGGACGTGGAGCTGCTGTATCCCTAACCCAGTCAGTGGACCAGTGAGGCGGTGGCTGTGAGGCCTTCATCCCTGTCCTTTTCTCTCTCTGTCCCTTGGAAATCACAAGGCCCCAACCTGGCATGACGATGCCGGAGGCCAGGCACTCCAGCACTCTTCGCAGGGCTTCGCCAGCACCCATGGGCCTGTTGGCAGTGCCGATGGACTTCTCACACAGCAGCTCCAGCGGCTAAAAGGCAAGAGGGACAATGAGCACCCAGCCGCAGGAAACACCCGAGGAAGCCCTATCACTGGCTAGAGGGGTTAGGAGTCCCGAGACTGAAAGCCAGCCAGTGAGGTCAAAGTCCAACATCAGACAGCTAGGCAGGGGCTTTCATAAAGGTGGTATGGGCCAAGGACAACACTGAGGACCGAGGTAATTAGGCTTAAACTGTAACCTTTTAATAGTGGGCTGTTAAGAAACAGGTAGCTTAAAAAATAAAATAATAAGAAGAAAAAGGAGGAGGAGGAGGAGGAGGAGCCAGGCCTCAGGCCGTGGGTGGCAAACTACTCAAGAACACCCGCACACCTATCCTCACATGACTAGTCACAGTGGACTGCCCAGGCAGCTCCCACCTCCTTTCTGAACTGCTCCTCCCACCCACTCCCCGACCCAAGAAGGCCCTTGTCTTGCTTCCACCCCAACCCAGGGTCTGATGGATCACAACAGCCACCCAAGCCAACACCATGAAGCTATGTGAAGGCCACACTCTGAAAGGACCTGCCTGGACAAACATTACCCCCACTCTTAATCACAAGGTGCCTTACCCATCCTCTGAGGGGACCCCAGGAGGGCACTCGGGTACACAAGTCCCTTAGGACACGGATGACAATGACACATGACTTCAGCCCATTGGCTCTGGCCTAGAGGAAGAAAGCACAGGCTCTTCACACTCAGGGCACCCCGGAGGACAGCAGGCAAACGTCAACAACACGAATCTCATGGTGCTGCTTTGCCAAGGGTAAACGGTTGCAGGGTGCAGAGCCACCAAGTGTGTGGCCAGCACTGAGCTAGCTCCCTGCCATGTGGAAGGGGGCCTGTTACTCTTAATGCAAAGCAGCCCACTGCTCAGCGGGAGCCTCCTCCTCAGGGCTGTCAAGTCCAATTGATTTGGGCGCGCTCCTTTAGCAGCTGCACGCTGCAGGTGCTAACAAGATCGGCACGGCTACACAGTCAATGTTACCGACACTTGACGGTCAAAGTTAGCCATGTTGTCAAACTTAGGCATTCTCTACCGAAAGACAAAGAGAAGAACAAAATGCAAACCTGGAACCACTTGGCGTGTCGGAGGGACGCCAAGGCAGCAAGGCATTTCTGCCTGTCCAGAACATCCGGGGGGTCGTTGACTGATAGCGTTTCTATTCATGGATGGAATAAGAAGACAAGGCACAGTTTGACCAAGGGGTTCTGTCAGGTGCAAAGGGGTGTGGCAGCTTCCTAAAGGGCAGCTGAGTCTCCCACAGTCTCAATTTGTGTCCACCCTGGACAAGGGAAGGAGAGGCTAAATAAAGTGCCGTCAGCTCTGCTCTGAGAGGAAGTCAGAGAAACTGGGAGGCCCTCTCCAAAATTTTAAACCACAGACACAAAAACCAAAATCAAAAAAGAAAAGTTACTCTAAAGGCGTAATTGGCGGGGAAGGGAAAAGATAGATAGGCTGACCCTATCTTCTCTGAGACCCGTTCCCTTGTTTCTTCCCCATAAATTAGCTAGGCTGGAATTTACAATAGGAAAAACAAAAACAAAAACAAAAAGGTGGGGGGAGTGGAAATGAACTCCCTCTCTGCTTCTCACAAACAGGCATCCACCTGAAGCACAGGGGACCACCTCCGCCCACCAGGCAGGACTGCCCTAGCCCCAGGCCTTGACAGAGAGAGTCCTGTTGGTCAAAGGTCCAGCGTCCCTGAGTGGATAAGCTAAGTGGGGGGCTTTGGTCACTGGCATCAGATACATGTGCCAAAGGGAAATCAACCAGTCTATCTCCGCTGCGGTACAGCTAGGCTGTCGTTTGGCTCTCAGGGATTTGGATAAGGCCTGACAGCAGGTCCAGGAGGGCTGCAGAGAGATCGTGAATTGAATGGAGATTAAGTACCAGCTTGGCATCTGAAGTGCAAAGACTGGGCTGGAAGACAGCACAATGGTTAAAACCTTATCCCAAACTCCGCTGCAGCTCCTGGACTCTCTGAAGCTCACAGAGTGCCACAGGCAGAGAGAGAGGCCAAAGGAAACCACCCAGGCTGTGCCGCAGGGATCGCTACCCCTACGTGCCGTTCATAGAGAAGCCATCTGGCTGCCGCTAACCACTGCAACACTGGAAGATTCCTGGGGACACACTTTTTTTTTTTTTTTTCAGAGGAAAACAAGTTCAACAAGGAGGTTCAAGACCATTCAAGGAGCAAACAAAACGGTGCGCTCCCTATACAAAGTGCTACTCACTTTTAGTGCCACTGCTGAGTCCAACTCCCAAGAGCACGAGGCCAAGGGGAGACAGGACTTTCGAGTACAGGCAGTCAGAGCTACACTGACACCCTCTCATCACAACACTCTAAAACTGAATAGCACATTTGAGCGAGAGGGAACACCAAGTCTGCAACGTTCTGCTGGCCTCTCTCGGCCTCCCTACCTCCGGCTAATATTTTCTCCATTTCTTCTCTGACAACGGGGGAGGTCAGGTGGATGGTCAAGGACAAGGGGGGTTCTTTTGTGTTTTTTATCACAATCGCAGCATCATCCACAGACTGGAGTATTTCGTACTTGTCTTCTGTTACAGTCTGGAGGAGGAGAAAAGAAGGTAGCTTTCAAACCACTTTCTCTGTAAGGCAATCAACAATCCTGACAAACTCCATTGGGTCTCAGGTTATGAATACTGGGTGGGCCTCTAACCCTGTAGCCAGAGAAGCTATTTCCACCAAGAATGTTAAAATGTAAAGGGAGGAGTCAGACGAGGTGGCTTATACCTATAATCCCAGCAGTTACAGAGACTAAGGCAGGATAATGAAGTCAACGCTAACCCAGGCCACAGAACAAAACTACCCCAAGGGCAGAGAGTGAAAGGAGCTAATGCAGTGGCAGGCAGCTAGCTATTCCAGCGGCTGAGACTGGGAGACTGAGGCCAGAAGATAACTTGAGCCCAGGAAGTTAATGCAAGCCTGGGTAGCACAATGACATCAAAAACAATCAATGTTAATTTAAAAACAAACAAAAACCAAATGAAATTCAAGCCTGAGCATCAGGGTACATGCCTGAAATCCCGGCACCCTAAAGACAAAAGCAAGAGGACACTGCTGTTTAAGGCCAACCTGGTCTACAGAGCAAGCTCACGGCAAGCCACAGCTACAGAGTGAAATCTAGTGTAAAAATAAAATAAATGCAACAGCTAGCCAACCAGGAAGTCATAAGCCTATAACCCTAGCACTCGGGATGCTGAGGCAGGAGACTGAACGCAAGGCCAGTTTGGGATACAAGGGAGAGCCTATCTGGAGAAAACCAGGTCTTTTTTCTCATTTTCTGAGACAAGCTCGTCTTGCACAGTGGCTCTCTTGTCTCAGCCTTAGTGCTGGCTCAAGGCTGGGGCTTCTAATTTCTAACATGGACTAACATGCACACACTTCAAAGCTACAGAACAAAGCCCATGACAGAGGGGGATCCACAGCCTCAGCAAGTTTCATGCTGGGAGAAGCAGTCAGCAGCCAACATGGAAGAGAAGCACATGCATTACTCTAGCCTATAGACAGCGAGAGACAAGGAATCATGTGTGTCCTGCAAAGCAGGTCTACAGGGTGCTCAAGAGTCCACTCAACTTCTTTATAAGCTAGTTCTTGTTAATTGGAAAAAAATTTCATTCTCTTAAACTAAGTGGGACATGCAGTGGTGGCACACGCCTTTAATCCTAGCACTTGGGAGGCAGAGGCAGGCGGATCTCTGAGTTCGAGGCCAGCCTGGTGTACAGAGGACTTCCAGGACAGCCAGGACTACCCAGAGAAACCCTGTCTCAAAAAAGGAAAGTCCATCCATATACTGCAGAGAGGACCTGTGCCCTGGAAATGGACCTCAGCATGGCTCACCTCTGGATCAGGGAATTCTTGCTGAGGAGGTTGTCCCGTGTCACACAGGGTGTTCAAAGCATCCCTGGCAACCACTCACTTGGGGAAGGAGTGCCTCACTTCTCCCTGTCTCCAGATGCCCAAAGTCCCCAGAGAGGGTGGAGCTCTCAGCTGTCAGGAAGCACTGACAGAATGAGCACCCCTTGTGTGCACACGAGGGTTGGACTGGGCAGGCTCACTAACCACAGCTCTATGCACGCCTTGTGAGGCGTCCACTACATCCATTACCACCCCTAGAGATCCCAAAGCTCTTTCTTTCAAAATATTGACCAACGTGCTCCACATAGCACTCTTTAGAAAGAGACAATAGTAATCACGAAATCCCAGCGGTGAGAAACCATCTGAGAGTCTACCTGTGGCAGTTCCCCTCAAGTTTCTAACATTCTGCACTTGCTGCTCTTCCAGATCTCAATTCACACCTCTCCCGAGCATGTACCCAAAATGGAATGTTTACTGACATACAAAGGCATTTTTCTTTGCAACGTAACAATACTTAAAACCAACCTGAAATTTCTGTATGCTTATCTTTTAAGTTAAATCCAGGAGAACTTTTCTAGAAACTCAGAGTATGACAGTGAAGAAGCTCTGCTGTCTCTGGCTGCCCCGCCCCCCCCAGAGGGGCATATGCTGGAATCAGCTTCCCAGCTCCTGAATGTCAGTCACATCACCCCTATCACTCAGACAAGTATGAGATTAGCCACAACTGGTCAGGGAGACCCATTCCTATAATCCTAGCATTCTGGAGGCAGGAAGATAAAGATGTCAAGGCCAGCCTGGGCTATATGAGACTATCAAAAAAAGTCAGGGCAGGGAGGGTGGGCCATAATGGACAAACTCTCGAAGAAAGTGGGGGAGGCAGATACACATACATCTGACCTGGAGTCTGGCTCAGTAAATGTTCAGCAAGCATCAAAGACCATTAGTTATGCAATATTTTAGTAACGGAAGAAATGACTGAGGTGTTTTTTTGAGTCAGGGTCTTACTCTATAGCCCAAGCTGGACTTGAATATGCATAATCTTCCTGACTCAGCCTCCTAACTGCTGGGATTACAGGTATAAGCTACCATGACCACTGTTTTCCCTCTTCTTTCTCTCTCTGAACTCTACCACTGAGCTCCAGCTGCAGCCAAGTGGGTGTAGTTTTAAGTATGTCCAGGTCTGACCCACAAAGAGTTAATGCCCTTCCTTCCTTCCTTCCTTCCTTCCTTCCTCCCATGCAGCCTACACATGGTACTGTTTATTCTAGCCCAGTAGCCCAGGCTGCACACGTGAGGGCACAAGGCTTTCACTAACAACTAGGAGACTGTGAACCACTATAAGCAGTGGGTGATTCCCACAGGCCCTCAAAGGCTCTGTGGTGACCTGTTAGGTATCAAGGTGAACACATGGCAGATATAAGGGGTGCTCCCTGGCACATGACACAGATAGGCCCTCTCTTCCTCTGAACACCCTCTCCACAAGCGCTAGGACCCCCTCTGGCATGGTGGTGGTGGTGGTAGTGGTGGTGGTGACGGTGACTCACAGTGAGCTGGATGGCCAGGTTGTCAGCCACCTTGTCCAGAAGGGCAGTTGTGGGCTTCTCCTTACAAAGCAGAACCAGCTCCAGATCCAAGTCCCCCTTGAGCAGAAGACCCTTGGCTACCAGGCCGACCCGCATCACGCCCCTCAGGGTCCTAGTCATGTGTTCCGCCTTCTGTTCCC